CGCCCGATCATATCGTCGACGAAACTAGGTCATGCCGCATACGCCACGCGCGGCGCACAGACTAAGATTTCGATATGATCATGTGATTTGCACTCATTCTTTGGAGAACCTTTTTATTTACTTGTTACCCACCTAATTACCAATACCTGCGTAAGTAGATGTATAATTTCCAATTATTCATTTCTCAATGGTGCGCCCCAAGTTGCAAACGAATATCTTTACGAGCGCTGTGATGCGGCGTGGCCTCGCTATGACGATAGAATCAAGCACCATCCTGCTAGATTAGGGGTTTTTACCCGAACCGCGTACTGGCTCGCCAAATCCCATCACCCGTTTTGAAGGGGAATATTCAATTGTCAGTGGAGGAATACGGCAGCTGCAGCAAAACCACTGCCTCTCGCAATGAGGGTCCGAATGGTAGTGCCGCTTTGGATATCAGAGGATTACGTTACCACCAACGGAATTGGGTGGTAGATTCTGCCATAGCGAGAGTTCATGTGATAGCGTAAAATGAATGATCATCTGTGCTGTCAGTGTTCTGTGAGACTGTTGGCTGTTCTGAAGTTTACCTCAAAGGGTCTTTGACTGCTCTCCTTGCTCTTATGCGTGACGCTTTGAGCATTATGGTGACTAGAGGTGTCCCTGTCATTTAGCCGAAACTGAGTCGCACAATGCCGAGCCCACATTCAAAAATGGAGGTATCTCAGCTGTATCCCACGCGACAACCCTGTACCTGTGAAGTGACTAACAGTGGAAACTAGCGCCCTTTCCCACACGCAGAATAGAATTCACTGAGGGGGTCATCGTTCTTTTAACTTCCAGGGGAACCTTAGGAAATAACAGGACCTAACCAACATATGTGTAAGCCACATGAAACTCTTTCAAACCTTTTTTCATGAAATGAAGCAAAAGATGAAGCTGACGACTCAGATGAGAAAGAAGGTGGGGAACAAAGATGCGTGCGAGAAACTGGACGGACTGGAAAGGGAAACAGGCGTTGTCTTCACGGAAAGGATTATGTGTGTACTCACAAATTCTAATCGCACGTCGATTAGGCAGTGAAGCAGAAGCAACTATAAATCGAGTAAGAAAATTTAAATGACATAGAAAAATCAAAAATTTCGGCTGGCGACCAATAATCTGCTAGACTTTATGCTGAACCACTACATCAGGCCGCTGAAGTCTGAATTCCCACTCTCAAACGGTCAAGGGCGCGCTCGCAATGACAGATTAAGTGGGAGAATTCAGACCTGAGCAGTGTCTCTCACTGACCGCACCTGCAACATGTTAAAAAAGAGGCAACGAAAGATGGGGCCCACGCAATGCATGGGTAAGACTTGAAAATTCGCACTCTATCGACCGGCAGGGAAATCTAGCGCTAGTAGTTATTACGAAGATTGGGGGCGCGACCATCATCAAAGATTAGTCGAAAGCTGGCTCGCGTCAGTTGGAATTCCCGTCCGAATCCATCCAAACGGCTCCACATTTGGTGGCAATAACTCGACCCTAAATCCCATGGCAAGCGACAGTGGTTTTCCCGAGCTTCACGAGACTGTTTTTGGGTGAAATCGTAGTGGGGAAGCCGTTCAGCTGTACCTACTTCTTTCACGCCAGTTTGCATCCACCTGAAAGCTAGAGCTAAGGGATGACTGGGATTTAGCTTTATCATTCTTTGCTACCGCGAATGAAGTTTTGAAGTACTTGATAATGGCAGTGGATTCTGGCATAAATGTCTTTTACGACACAAAACATACTCAATTTATCCACCAACTTACCCTTGTGTGCTAGCCCGAACATTTTTTTAAAACAATACATCGCATATGCAAAAGACTTTCTCGGTTGTTCCTTACACTTTTCTGTTTGTGACTGCTATATTATATAGTCCGCGAACTAGAAAAAGCGTTTCGTTGACAGAGATACAATGGCCCGATTTATTAGCTTTGCGTCAAATTAGTTCCAGAGTTAACGAAGGCGCAGGTAGACAGAGATCACCCACTGAGTCTGATTTGCTACCACACATTTTTTACAAGGTTTTTTTTTCGAAAAATCACGAAATGCAAGGAATTCGTTAGGCAAGCATTATTATCTGACATCTCGCATTGAAGTAAAGGTAGTACAGCTATTTGGCGAGCATTATCAAAATATCAAGAGAAACAAACAGAGACAGATAAGATACAATCGAAAAAGAAAGCCTCGACAAAGTTCTGAAACAAGCGAGGAGTGATATGACCATTTATGGAAATGTGGATATGAAGCCAAGTGCAACGATTTTTGCCTGCGGCTGCGTTGCATTTGCATTGGAGCATAGTAGTTGAACTGTCGAGGAACAGCTTGCGAACAGGGGTTCAAGACGCGTTTATTACGCATTTTATGACACAGAGAGGAATCATGTCTGTTCTTAGGTAACAACGGCCTTTCAGGGTCATTCTATCCGGTTCTGTGATGCTTCTCGCTTACGGCATCCATTCAGAATCATAGTGGCAGTTTGGATACTAACATAATCTAGACCATGACCTGCGAAGACTACTGAGTTGCAAGTTGATGTAGTTTCCTCCTCCTATAAAAATCCCGTTCCAAATAACTGATCTCAAAGTGATAGAAGGCTTCAATGACATCGGCGGCTACCAATTTGGGGATCTGAACCGTGCACCTAGGGCTATGCATGCGTGTATCGCACCACTTGCTACCGCACCACCTCCGCCGGTGAGGTATTCACGTACCTCCGCACATCCCACAGAAGAACATCTCCTATTTATTGAAGGCTGAGTATGTGAAAGTGGGCGGGAATCATATTTCGGAGGAAACCTGTCCCATTAGCAAAAACGTCATTTTCAGCTGTTGCTAATCTGAGTATAGCTGGTGAAAGGTGGTTGTGATTTTGACGTTGATTGTTCCCACACATCGGAACTGCATGACATGGGGTCATAGTGATGGTGGAACTTGAACACGCATTAGGCCTAAACTGAATTGAGTCCTTGACTGTTGGTAAACAACTCACTACTTTTGCCCTACCAGTTGAAGCGGTATCACCTGGCGGGTCTGTGGGGACGAAAGACTTTGATAGTAGGACGTGACTTAAGGCAATCCACTTTGTACCTAGGCATTTTTATTGTAGGGTGTAAGTTTTGTATTGCCAAGTGGAGCCCTATAACACACGCATGGTCACGGGTTCGAATCCCGAATCGATAGGTCGGTTAATTGGTACCAGACTCGTCTGGGAGGATGAGAGCACTGACTTGTACATCGGCTACCATCGCAAGTCATTGTATAGGCCACGTACAAAAACAACACGTGACCACGATTCTAATGGAAGTCGCATGCGTGGCGCATCCCTTAGACCTGTTTAATACCGTACGATTTCATTCTTTAGCTTTTATTTCCATTGTATTAAAGATTTAATGCAAGAAGTTTTTTATCTCTGCATAGTTTTGTTGCCGGAAGGAACAAGAGAAAAAATTTCCGTTGAAGAAGAAGTTCATCTCTACGTCTACTTACGATGAGCATCTGATGTTTACGAAAGTGTTTGATGGCCGGTCCGAGTTCAATACTAACATTTCACTGGCTAAGATAAAAACAAACCCAGGCATAGCGTCAAAGAATGTAGTCTCATCGTCGATCCCGTTCCCTAATCTCCACTACGCCCCTCGCACACTTCGTATTGGAGTTTCAAGAAACGGATGGAGCCATCTCTATTGCGTCCTATCGTGTTGATCCAATTTTTCATTCATCAGACGGGAAATTCGTCACGAAAGAACAACCTTTTTCTGAACGACTGCCACTACTTCGGAAAGGCTATTTTTTCCACAAATTTTGAACCAAGTGCAGCTCCGAATATGTGTGATATTCGCTTTCTGAAAGCTGCAAATGCTGTAAAGGCATCATATTGAAAAGTTGCGCAAATATCTTCGGGTCTTGTTATGGCTCTCAATGTTGCAATAACCAATACATCCTCAAAAATTGTTTTGGTCTGAAGCGGCAGCTAAATTCGCAATTCGGCAGGTCCCGGGAGTGCCATCTCTTAAAAATCTGGGAGGTGCTGAATATCGTTATATTCTCTTACCAGGTGCCCCTTGAATTTGATTTCTATCCAAATTCATATGTAGTGATAGTGTGGGCGAGGTAAAATGTTTCCAATCGTGCTAAACCAAAATCAGAACTTGTGCGAACTAATTTTACCCCACGGCGTTAATTTTATATCTACCCACTACAGCCCATCAGTTGACATGAACCGCAGATTCTGATTCAATTGCATCTGGCTTTCTCCCCGAAGGGCATCACCTATTGAATGAGTATGCAAGCCTATCCCTTTCATACAAAAAAACTTTTAGATCCTAAGGCCTATGATGATCTTCGATTTATAAGAGTTTAGCCTTAAATGCCGTGGTAACATGCAAAACAGTGTGTGAGTACTGCCAAGTTCCTTTGCGGGTGTGTCTCTATTCAAGCCGTTTACCATTCAAATGTCGTAGGACTATTAAAGTCTACCCTTTACCAGGCCTCGTGAGAGCCGCAAGAGGTCGTTTCTTATTACCGTTCTCATATAGTGGTGCAAATGCAGCAACTGTTGAGCGGCAAAGTGAGTGGGGTTCCTCCTTGATGAAGAGAAGTAATCAANTGCAAAACAGTGTGTGAGTACTGCCAAGTTCCTTTGCGGGTGTCTCTATTCAAGCCGTTTACCATTCAAATGTCGTAGGACTATTAAAGTCTACCCTTTACCAGGCCTCGTGAGATCCGCAAGAGCTCGTTTCTTATTACCGTTCTCATATAGTGGTGCAAATGCAGCAACTGTTGAGCGGAAAAGTGAGTGGGGTTCCTCCTTGATGAAGAGAAGTAATCAAACCTTAGCTCACTTCAAGTGAAACCTCTGCCGTCCTAAGTAACAGTGTCAGACCAAGCACATTCGGATCATCTTTATTGAAACCTTGAATGGAGAAAAGTGGCTTTAAGATAGTGTGAATAGTATACAAAACTAAAAAGTATACACATCACTCTATAAGTGGATAGAAAGAATGTTTAACTCAATAAGGATCTTTTTATGAAGGCAAAAGTGAAGTCATTCGTCCGTTCGTTACTACCGCCGTCGCCTTGTTCCCGTTTCCGTATCTGTGTGTTTCTCTTTTCGAACTGACGGCCCCTTCAAAAAGATTAGGGAAGAATATTTTGCCTGGATATCTTTCAATCAAAGGGTAAAAAGTGATATCTACCTTCTTTTGGGGTATAACAGGTCGAGCCGGAGATGGAACGGTTCTTAGTGGTGCATTGAACCCCTGGAAGGAAGAAAGTGATGATGAAATGTGCGTACCAGTAACAATTCAGGTCCAAAAAATAATGTGGCTGAACGGCAAATATTCAGGCATGAAGGTAAGGTCAAACCTTAGAGATAACTTTTCGCTGTGCAATCTGCATGTTGGGCAGATTTCCAGTTTTCGGAAAGACACGAGGAGCGCCAGGTAGAGGCGGAGGCTGTGGCGACCGAGGGGGTGGCGGTGTAGTTGAAATCCGAGGTGGTGGCGGTGATGTTGGTGGCCGAGGCACTGGTGGTAGCGAAAGTTGTGGTGCTTGAGGCTGAGGACCTTGAGCTTGAGCATTTGGTGGTGCTACTACTGGCTTCGCTGCCGGATTTGGTGGAGCCAGTTGCTTCAGCGTTGAGCCCTTCGTCCTGAAAAATACAGTTTGTTCTGACGTCTCGAAGAGTGTGTAAGGCAGAGAATGCATCGCTTCTAAGCGTATCAGAAGAAAAGCCATTTACAACAGGAGAGAATATACACCCAACATGTTTGCGAAATGAACTGTGACGATTTAAAGGCAGACATTTCGATAGAAATGATATAAATGGCTATAAGGTTCGGCTTGGAAAGACATCTTGGGATGCAAGACGCGCTGGCACCGCTCCTAACATTCCCATACCCTAACATTCTCAGACACATTCGGGATCAGCAGGTCAATCCCAGGAGGATAGTAGGCTTATGGTCTGACATGAGTGGTATTCCGCTTACATGACAGTGCCTCTGAGATCCTTGGGTTATGAAGGGGTTGAACCCATTGAAACAGCACCGCGTTCAATCGAATCTGACAAGCATGCTGAGCACTATAATCACCCATACAGCCCGGGTGCGTCGTGGTTCGGGAGCAGTTTGGAACTAGCCTACCCCTTAGTACTTCAAAGGTAGCCGCAGTTGTAAGTTTGAGGTCGTGGAAGAAACGTACAAGTGCGGGTGAAAGAAGGCAGTCATAATCCGAAAATGGGAGTAATAAAAACTACTAAACGTTTGGAAACCCATTAAACTGACTTATGCTTTTGGAACCGCTTCAAAATCCAGGCGACATCTTTCATTACCGGTCGACTATCTGGTGCTGCCGACCAACATGCAGTTACGACGACTCGAATTTCATCTGGCAGATCGTCAGAAAGTTTAGGTCGAAATGTTGGATCTGACAGCTGCAAGATGCTATGGATTGTTGCAAAGTAAAAAGATTTACTTGAATTTTTTGTTTAATGATGAGCTCTTACCCGTTGGCGAACCGTCTTGTTGTCGTATTCCTCGAATGGCATTTTAGCGTTGTTGAATATCTCCCAGACGAGTATCCCATATGAATAAACGTCACACTCNTGCAAGATGCTATGGATTGTTGCAAAGTAAAAAGATTTTCTTGAATTTTTTGTTTAATATTGAGCTCTTACCCGTTGGCGAACCGTCTTGTTGTCGTACTCCTCGAATGGCATTTTAGCGTTGTTGAATATCTCCCAGACGAGTATCCCATATGAATAAACGTCACACTCGCGGGTATAAACATGCGTCGCCACCACTTCGGGAGCTTGCCTAAAATCGTTACACCTTCGTAGAAGAATGGTTTAGACGTTATGGCTTCAATTCTTATCTGCGCCATGGTGTTTCCCATGTATAAAGATCTTATGAAGATGAAAGAGGGGCAAGAGGCTGAACATTAGATTGAATTCGGAAGAGGAGAATTCGGTAATGGAACCCTGAACCTGAACCTTGCTTTGAGAAGGTGGCGTTGGCGTAGTAGCAGTCTCGAACAATACGCAAGTATATGTAGGTATTCCTATGGTGTCACTATCTTCAGATGTATCCCAACGGTGCAAAGAAGAATTCGAAAGAAACTTCTTATCTTGCACAAATTTGATCACATGAACAGGAAAGGATCCCCAGAATTGGGAGCTCAATCATCGCCATATCTATAAACCTTCGTAGATGTTTACGCACCATTTTGTGGGAATTTTTTCAGTTGGTTGAATTTTGTAGGTATCGGCTTGCTTGGACAGTCCAAAGTCCGATATTTTAACAATGTTTTTCTGGGTGTCGATTAGACAGTTGCGACATGCCAAATCCCTTAATAATCCATCATTAAGTTATAGTAATGTCTTTAACGAAGATTCCGTAGCTGAAGCTCAGATTTACCGAAAAGGCAAACGGCAAAAGTCGTGCCTTCTGTTCGACTTTATAATTTGACTATCGTGGTGCGCACTCGGTCTTGTCGGGAAGGGACAGTACGCTGCAGAAAGCGAGTGGAAGCCACGTAGCTATGCTTTACCATGGACTCTGGCTGCTCATGCCATCCCGCAACGATTACGTCATTCATTTTCGTCACCATCGCGTCGCAGCAGCCTGATCGTCTCCGTCTCTTGGTACGCACTCGACTTCAACGCCATCGATGCAGCTGGATTGGATAGCCCGGGTTGGGAGTTAGCAGTATCCTACACCGTCCGTAGGTTTTTTGTGTTTATAATATATGTATTTATTTTTCCATATTTCTTTCAATAATATTTCTTGTATCCTAGCCAATTACATTCATTCGCATTTAACCCAACATTTATTCCCTTTTAAACGTCCTTACTCATAAAACTATGTAATCCATCATGTGTGCTTAGTACGTAATGTGTAGCGTCACTTCTATATCGCAGCCATCCCGCTGTACACAGGGATGACCGGGTACGTAGGCCTTGTTGGACCCCGCGCCTAGCGCCTCCACGGAACTCGCCGTTGCGTTCGCAACCCTCAGCGTACTGCGGAAGCAGTACCAGCTCGTAGGAGGACGGAATATGACTGGGGTAGCCCAGTCCTACCATTCCCATGTGGCAGATGGTTACGGCCTAGGGTAGAAGACCACGGTTACTTAGCTCCCATCGCTGTGGTCACCCTGTCGAGCAACCCTGATGCGTAAAGGGCTCGGTGGACAACCCCGATGGCGCAACACCAAAAAATATAATCGGCAATTTCCCAGGAAGCTACTTTTGCGGAGAGTTGAACTAGGTCTTCGTCAGTTAAGAAACGTCACTTACCGGTGCATGCATCTTTTGCTGTGTAGGTAGTAAAGACCAAGAGCGACATCAAACGCGTAGGAACACTTATCCGCAATACTCACCTCAATGGAAATATGTATTATAGAAGCAGTATATCAGTTCTCATTCCTCTTGTAAACCATGCACTTTTTTCAAAAACAGTGACTCCTTACAACATTCTTTTTCAAATAGTGGTCAAGACCGCCTCCGTTCACCATTTCCATCACAATCATCACATTTTCATTTTCCATCACCATGCCAAAGAACGCCACTACATTTCTGAACAGAGCTATGTTATCGTGGCAGCTCTATCCGACAATGGGGAGGAGAATGCGTTACATGTGCTGATATTGTCGCATTAGTCGGGCTTCCTTGAATAGCTCCTGCATATATTTCTTGTTATCTTCTTTCAGCTTTGTCTGAAACGCTCTAGATTGCTTGGAACAATTGGCAGCTCATTTTTTCTATTTCGTGTTAGAGGAGATCAGGAGACCGTGAAGCCATCGTGGAAGGTGGGAACTTATTGGATGGGTTCCTCCACTTCATCGACCCTCATGGTCTCCTTTTGGTCTAATGGTGGCAATATGGGTGCTTATCCCTGAAGCACAGTTGCGCAACTAAAGGAATGAGTACCCATATCTCCCTCCTTTCTAACAAGCCGTTGGTGCTCACGACTTTGATGGCAGCTTGTACTGTTTGTGTTGCTGATTGCCGCAATGTTCCTTGCCACACTTCTCCAAATGCACCTTCTCCAAGTTTTGTAATTAATTTAATCTTGTCCTTTGTTAGCTCCCAAGGTTGTTTTGGTACAGGTTTCACTAGTAGTGCCTCATCTGGTAGCGGCAATTTTTCTTCATAGTGTTTCCTAAATGAATCGTTCAGCGCTTCTATGTCGTCTAGATTACAAGACAGTCAGTGTGTTCAAAATATTCCCTGACCAACTTTCCATTAATCTCGGCATGATCCAAGTACAGTGTTACTTTCGCATACTACTGGAAGGAAGTCTATATATGTCACTAGGTGGGCTATGCATGCTTACATTGTATTGTAAATATGTCCATGCATACTGCATGCATGTATTTCCACGAAAGGTCGTCCGTAGGCTCAAAACTATTGCAGGTAGTTCATCAGGTGATATCGAATTCCCGTGCAAACGGACAGACAGACGCTAGCGCTTTATATGTAGTAAGGATCATTTGACACATAATATGGCTGGAATGGTGCCAGCCACGAACACGGATTGCAAAGCGTCGGCGCGCAGTCACGAGCCTTCTTGTGGCGAAAAAGCCTGTGACTACCGGTGCAGTTGGGCTCAGGCAAGTAATGGCTGAGAAAGCAAGAGTCTGAAAGCAGCGGGAATCCGAAATGCGAAAAAGGAGAGAGTACGATCGCCCTTAAGTAAGACTTGACCCCGGCGAATACTATAATAAGGGCTTGAAAGCTTCTAAATTTTCAGGCCCACATTATAGTATTCGCCGAGGTCAAGTGTAAGTCAAGTGGTGGGCAGGTTGTGGCTTCCTCAAAAAAAAACCATGGCCGAATGAATGTTGACATGGAAGTCGGCAGACGACTGACTCGACCACATGTGGGTAATGAATAGTTCGGAAACTCACTGTACAAGGCCAACGACGGTTTTTGATGTGTTTTTGCCATCAATGGTGAATTGTCGTGAATCTTCTGCCTGCACGGCATGAATCGGATAGTCTTTCAATTGCCCTTCGAAACGAACGGTCAAACATGGCTGCAATGATTTGCTTTGTGAAAGTGATCAGAAAATGTAGTAAAAGCAATTTCACCGCTGCTCATATACGACCAATGTAGTGATGTAAAAAGCGATGCAAGGATTGTGATTGGGTGGAACGGCTCATCTTTCTGACAGACTGAGCCGACACAATGTGACCGTCCCCACAAATGGTCAGGTCAATACAGGTGGCACCATGAATATGCCCGCTCGATAAAAAGGAAATCATCTCCACGAGATTCGCTGGGGGTGGGGNAGGATTTTTTAGGATAAGGATTCGACACAATCGAACGTTTAACAGTGGACTGGTTGTTATCGAAACCAGAACGCTAGCATACCATTGGGATTCTCCCTTCTTCAGGTTCGAGCTCTCGTATGAGGAAGCTTCCTGGTTCAGCAACGAGCGCTCCGATATCTTCTAGTGGCAGTGCACCGTGATACCAAGGCTCGTTTTGAAGTTCCTTAATAGGGGTGCTCTTGAAACAGAGTCATGTTAACTCAACAAGAAATGGACTCACGCTTAATACTCTTTCTGCCGCTTCATCTATGTAATCAGCCATGCCCTTGTCAACCGCCGCCCTCTCCACCTATAGAAAGGTCCCAAATTATACAACTTTCACTATATCGAATTCTTGTAGTAAGCTCCCTCTAAGGGAGATTCGACCAAGATGGAAAGGTCTGATTCTGAAGACGGTTGTCACAAGCGTATCATTCCACGGGTCTTTTTACTATAAAACGTCTTTGGTCTACGGATCTCCTTCACTGTGAGTTCTTTCTCACAGAGGGATCCCCAGCCGGTTAGTGACGAGTCTACACTAGGCTTAGTGACGTCCTCAGGTGGTGGATAGGGTAATTAATCGCCAACCAAAAGTCACCGGTACATGCCCGAAGGGATGGACTTCTTGATTCTGCTGTGCTGGGTCGATATGCCATCTGTTTCTCGCGGGCGTATTCACGCATACGTGTGCGGAGAGTCTGTGGGTGCAGTTGGTATCCTGCCCATCGAGTCAGCCAAAAGCTTGCATTCGAGTGTCTGGGAAGTATCTGGGAGGCGATTCGGAGCCTCCTCCGAAAACGAACCTCCTCGTCCACCCCGGGACAGCCTGGGAAGTCCCCGGGGTCAACCTAGCCCACACGTCAGAGCCTGGCAAACTGCATGTTGGGTATTTACACGCCAGAAATTATTCCCCTGAACCTGAGGGATGAATGGAATGAGCAAGGTGAAAGGCTGACCGAGTTTATCATATCGAAACACATCATTCATAGTAACTTGCATTTCCAGAAGCCCTCTCATTTGCGATGGACATGGGAGTCATGGTAGACAGTTCCATAATGAATTAGACCACATCAATTTTCAATCGGAGTTTTTGCCTGACTACGTCGCTTTTGTTTCGGAATCTACACGGGTTTCTCCGCACTAGATTCCGCTTCTTAGTGCGTGGAGGGAGAGCTAGGAAACGAAGCCCTAAGATCTCTATCAACTGGGACAACTTCGCTTCCCTTGTAAGTGAATGGAAAGATTCCGTTATCGACAACATCGATGAAGAATGAAACCGGCTCGTCGAGCATCTTTACGATAGCGCTAGGAAAGCAAAGAGTATACAAGAAACCAAGGCGCGACTCTCTTCGAAGACTATCGAGCTGATACGCCAGCGTGGTGTCGCGCGAGCTACAGGCAATCATCAACAAACGTCCGAACTTGCGAAGCTATGCAGAGAAGCGACAAAGGAAGATTTGAAAGAGAGAAGAGCAGTAGTTGTGGGCGAAGTCGCCGAGGCCGGAAAGAGCATTCGCGAAGCCCGTCAGAGCTCAGCCAACTACAAGACCAAGATGACTTCCCTATATCGTCCTGACGGAACAGTTGCTGCTCCTCGAAGGGCAATGGAGAAGGTCATCTACGACTTCGACTCGGATCTCTAAGACAGCCACGTCTAACTGCCTACCTACCATCTTAGGTAAGACGAATATATCGCCCCTTCGGTTCTCCCT